CCACAAAAAACATCTACTGGCTATGCAAAGCTGTTAATACCTTTGATCACTTAAAATGCAGCTGCAACATGTAGAAGACCACCAGCTAGTGGCTGCAGTTCAAGATTCATCATAAATGAACATGCACTTTGGTCGTTACTACAAAACCTCCCCTCAGGGAGTCTTCAAGTCGGTTAATACAGAAACTAGCCCACTATAAACAATCACAGTTATTTGCAATGGCAACAGCACACATTAAATTGTCAGCCTTTTTGACCATCCTGCTCTGAGTCTGTTTCTATATTCATAACTCTTCATCCGCAGCCTGGTTGTTTAATATTTCACAGTTGTTTATCAACAGCCAGCTCTCTTCTGAGCATTCACAACAGCAGCAGCAGCAGCTTGCTATTAAAGATTTGTTACAGCTGAAAAGCCTCTCTAAAATAATGAGAGGCTGTTCTTAGCTGTGATTATGGGCTCTTCAGTAATGCCGACAGTACTGAGAGTCAAAAACTCATACTTTAGAATGCTGCTACGCCCTTAATCGAAGTCTAATGCTTTCTCAAGTGTTATGACTGTAATCTATATGTCAAGAATGGAACTGGGGGATTGCATTCCCGCAGCCCGGCTGCCATCTCCATATCACTGTCATTGCAGTCATTGAGTTTCTGTCTGGGGACGATAATTTTGCATTAGTGCAGGCAGAGGAGTGCTAGCCACAGTGCAAGAGGGCACAGGAAGCCAATTTAAAAAAAGATTTTCCTTCCATCTTTAACACTGGGTGTACTATCTGGGAAAAAAACAGCTCTGCAGTATTTCTGCAGCAGCAGAATTGGCAAAGATGACACACACACACACACACACACACACACACACACACACAGAGCAAGAGACACATATACACAGTCTAGATATATATTTTTAATTTTCATCCAGAAGTGCAGAGACTCGTCATGTCTTAGTCAGCATGACTGCAGAAGGTTTTTGTAAAGGACAAATAAAACATGTTTACTTCGATATAAATAATTGCCAATTACACAAACAAACATTCTCTCATAAATATCTGCTCTGCACTATTAGCCAACCATTGTTTGATTGTTTGGAGGGTACTTTCTAAAACTGTATTTGCGTGTTTGGATAATGACAGCAGCTGGGGGGATTTTGAAATTGCCACGGGGACCTTGGACAAAAGTTAGCCCTGGCATGCCCTGATAATCGCTGTGTGTTCGGGCTGTGATGCCAGCCTGCGCCACAAGGGCTCAGATAATAGCCCATGTCCCTCGCTGGAGGGGTTGCATTTCATAACGAGGGCAAATTAGATGCTGATTGGATTGAATACGAGGCTGGTCAATACAAGCAGACAATAAGAGAGGAGAAATATGGAGGAGAGGAAGTGGGGAAGTGGAAAGCAAAGATAAAAGAATCGGGTTGGGAGGAAAATAAAGATGACTGGGGAGAGAAAGTAAAGAGGATTGTATGACAACACGGGGGGAGAAGGAATGAAAACCCATGTTGTTCTGTATTTTCCATCAACTCAACATTTCCCCTCTCTCTCTCTCTCTCTCTCTCTCTCTCTCTCTCTCTCATGGGTATCTCCCTCCCCAGATAAAGAAAAGGCCCAATCAGCTGCTGACACAGGATCAATGGTAGCGCCCTGCCCAGCTGTGGCTAATGAAGCACATACTCACTCATTATCTGCAAAAGACAACACTTCCTGGCTTCAGACACATCCTGGATTGAGTTGCTAATTTCTGTGAGTCAATCTAGGAATAGAAATGGGAGTAACATCGGCTAATAACTTGGGCTGTCGTCCAGGCTTGTGCTGAGCTATTACAGGCTATTTGCACTCATTATTGGGGAGAACTATGGATGCGGCAATGAGTATTACTTTATTTTATCTGCGCTCATTTGTGGCAACACAGCCACAGCAGCGTTGTTGTGAAACCTTTCTGTCTGGTGTCCTCATGAGAATCGGGGGCAATGGTCCTTGATCCACCAGGGCACAGAGTTACTGTGGCTCTGATTATTTATACCAAATTGTTTTTGTTGTCTTTTGAGATAACAGAGGACTAAAAGAAAAGCTAAACTTACAATAGAGTACATTTTCAATAAGGCTACACAAAGTCATTCAGCAGTCTTTACAGGGACTCAGGAATTAAAGGTGAAGTGTGTGATTTAGGGGGATTTGGTGGCGTCTAACGGTGAGGAGTGCAACCAGCTAAAAGGCTAGAATTTCTTCAGCGGCCATTGTTGAGGAGGGTTTTACACGGCGCTGAGTTATCCACAGAGACCTCGTCCTCTCCAAAACAAACAGACCAGGGGTCTCATTTATAAACATTGCATACGCACAAAACAAGGCCTGAAAGAGGCGTTGTATGTACATTTTTAGTATGGATCCTACATATTGTTTTATGAATGAGACCCCTGGGGATTATAATTAGCAAAAACACTGAATAAAGCAGTTTCACGTTACAAATCAGTGCATCTCCAACACTGTTTGGCATGACAGTGTGGGCGGCTCATCAACCACCTGCCAATGTGTGCTCACGTTTCATTTCCAATAACTTAAGATCCAGACTCTCAGGAGGATTTTATCAGGAGCCAAATTATCCACAGAGGTCTCCTTCTCTCCAAAACAAACAGACCAGATTTAAATTGGTAAAAACACTGAAAAAGTAGTTTCACATTACAAACCAGTATAATTTTGATGCTGCTAGCTGCAGATGGGCTCGAATAGCCCTACCTAGAGCCCGTGTTTGGATTTTCCATTCTAGGCTACTGTAGAAACATGGCTGTTCTACATGGTGATCTCTGTAGATGAGGACCAGCTCCATACACAGATATAAAGGCTCATTGTAAGGTGATGAAAACACAACAATTCTTATTTTCAGGTGACTGTACATTAAATAAAACATGCTTATTATATCCAATATATACCTCTAAATCCTACACCCTGGACCTTTAATGCGGGAACTGTTAGTGGCAAATGAAGCACCATTTCCATGTAAGGGATAATGTATAGTGAGCCGGTGACTGTTGAAAAATAACTCCCGACAGGGGGATTGAACCCCGACGCGCAGCTATACTCAGCTCACTATACATTATCCCGCTTAGAACATGGCTTACTACTAAAATATTTAAATAAAATATAGAGATAAATATTTTTTAATAAATCTGACGGGACAACCCCCTTGGGTTTTGTGGCTCTCTAAATATGCATCCTCTGTAAATTTGTTTGCATGGATCTCTGGGATCTTTGTGATTTTTTGTTTCGGGGTTGTGGGAAGGATGAAATACTCCACTCCATTTTCATCCGTCTTCAGCTCAAACGCATCCTTCGTCAGATCACGTAAGTCTGAGGCTGAGATGAAAATGCTGAATTTTGCCACTCCGATCCTATTTGGCCTGTGTGGACTAACTTTAACTGATTTTGATGCTCCTCAGTCTAAGGCCGTTGCTATGGCGTCCCTAGCAACGGAGCAGCAGAGCAGTGGTGATACGCATTTCCTTCCTCATAGTGGCCAGAACAAAATGTTGGCATAATACGTTTCTGCAAACCACAAATATGTTACATCTGCACATTCATACGTAGCATATCAACATTTCTAAAGTGACGTATATGAGCTGACTTCGTCATTTGGAGGTGGAGGAGATGGTGGATGGTGTAACACCTAGGCTAGTGAGTCATTGTGAGTCACTGCTGTGTTTCTAGTGTTTCGGCACCAAATGTGGGTGCTCTGAGGCGACCCATTGCTTTTTTTCCCAGCAGCTTTTTTGGCACATAATAAACAATCATAAACATCTGTAAAGCTGATTTTCTCAATATTTTCAGTAAGTTAACTTTCTAAATGCCCAGAGGGGAAACTAAACTAAAGTTGTGCATTGATTTCATCCAAGTTTACTTGCTAGCAGTCTTGTTTTTTCTGACTTTGTTGGCACTTCAGCTGCATGCTGGAAAAACATTTCAGTGCTACAGGTGGTCAAAAACTCCACACAGAAACTTAACGCCAAAATCAAAAAATGATACTAGGATTTATCTCGAGGACGTAGTTTGTATGATAAAGACAGCAGCGTGGAGGCAGGTATCTTACTGAGGTTGTCAGATGGCATTTCTAATAAAATGTGTTTTGTATTTGTTTTTAAGGTCTTTGATGCCACCAGATATAAACTGGTGTCTCTGAAAAATCATCATGTTTTTTCAGGGACTGGTCGCTATGTTTCCAGGGGCTTTATAGCCATGAAGAGTGGATGTTTTTTTACCAAGACTTTGCTGCATTTCTTACTGAGGTTGTCAGGTGGCATTTCTCATATGTTGTGCTGTGAATACCAGAGCCGAACTGAAAGGTGATCCTGTTTTCTTCAAACGAACCTCTGAGCAGAGATTTAAATGTTCCAAGGAAGATCACTGAACATCAGCACTGTGAGAGCAGCTCTGTGACATTAATTACTGTTATTCACGTTCACACTATAGTCGTTTGAAAATCTGATTACAGGTTATCAAAAGCACAACTCTAAAGGCTCTTTAATCTGATGAGCGCGTTACAACTTTGGTAACTTGTCTGAATGTTGTTAATTTCTACAAGGAGAGGAAGAAATGTTTTACAAAAGCAGGAAGCCAATTAAAGCAGATCTGAAGCATCTCTTCTCCTCATTTTATGGTTTGAAATGGGATTTTGACATCTTGTTGCAGAGCACAGTATAAAACCATTATTCAGTTTCAGAACTCACAGTCCACATACATGTCGCATCTGTGCAGAAGGCTATAACTTCTATGGTCCTAATTTTCTCTCAGACATGTCTTCCCTCCTGATCTTCATTCTCACTTCATGGATGCAAATGTTGCTGAAATAAACTTTTGAGGCAGAACAGTTATCTCTAACCCTGGAGGATGTTTACAGTGATCACTGGCACTTTAATGACGCTCCAGTACTGCAACAATGATCAAGGACATTTTTACTGCATCAAACACCCGCCCCCAGAGTATTTCATGAAGCTATTTATCAGGTAGAAAGAAGTCTTACCTTCACATTTCTCCAGAATCTGAACCGTCTCTCCCACCTCCAGGGCCAAACCCTGAGTCACTGAGCCACGGAAGTTGCAGATCACTGTGGAGAAAGAGAGAGAAGAAGAAAAGATGAGATCCTGAGAGTATGGTGAAAACATAAAACTCTGAAGCCCCTTTTACACTGGTTGTTGCGCCATTATTCCGCCCTGGGGTTCTGCACAAAGGGTACAATCACAGAACGTGGGGACACGATTGTCTGTCTTTAAGCCAACAGTGGAGGTCGTAACAGCGCCGAATCAACATCTGTTTGAAAGGGACAGTCGGCAGGACAGGACCATGGACAGGATGGGTGTGATGTTTTGACAACGTGTTATGTATGTCACCCTCTCCAGGAGATTTAAAAAGCAGCTAGAAGCAGTTAGCAGCTAACTCAAAGACGAAGAACAGAAACCAAAATATCTGAAAATGAAAAAAAACAATGAGGTCTAGGAATTCCTTATCCTCCAAACAGAGGACGAGATCAGTCTCCATATAACTCGGATGGTAATTGATTGTTATTGCCATGTTGGCCATAGTTAATAAAGCACTGCAGACCATAGACTGTAAAAATAATGGACATAGCTACCATGATGTCACACAGTGGTTGATGGGCTCCCATTTTGAAGCCTCAAGTTTGGCATCACGGCCGTCGCCATGTTGGCTTTTTGGAGCCAAAAGTGATCATATTTGGGCGAGAGGGTGGTACTACAGAGGAGTGAGGGGTGGATCGGACTGAGAAGCCAAGGACACTACCGGAAGACAGCCTGTCACTCAAAACAGCCTTCCCTTAATTATGTGTAACTTTAAGCCTTAGTAAAATGTAAACAGGTGAGTTATATAAAAATTCACCCATACAGTCGTCATGAAGGGGGAAATAGCTACAGAGACCAGGCTGTAAACGTGTATTTCTGCTATTAAGTTGGGCATTTTACAGTAACATGGGGTTCTATAGGGGACTGACTCGCTCTTGAAGCCAGCCTCAAGTGGCCATTAGAGGAACTGCAGTTTTTACCATGTTGGCTTCATTTTTCAGCCTCAGAGGTTGCAGCTTGCTGCCGATGCGTATGTTTTATGTCACACTAAAGGCCGACACTGTTGTGTTACATGTCACCGCCATCACGTCTCTTTGCTTCTTGGATGCGGGTATGCTGCTTAAAATCACACACTGGCAAAGTGTGACAAAGTCGTTGTTTGGTTCTGTGTAGAAACGCCAAGGTGGCATAAAGAGGGGACTTTGTAGTGGCCTTACAGTGCGATCGCTGAATATAAAGGGCTTGAGATGCTGTCCTGAATTTTTGGAACACCCAGCTCAAACATGAGAGTTTGGTTTTAGAATTGCAGGGCAGCAACTATTTTTATTCATTATTAATGAACCTAGATAATCTTTTATTCATCCAAAAAATCAATAGTAATTTCATTATTCAGCATAGTTCACAAAGCACGTGAATACCAAAGCTGTGCCCTCATCTGCTTCCATCCCTTCCACTGTCACTGTCACTGTCTGCCTGTCCCGTGACAGCAGCATGACATTAGCATCAGAGCTTGACTGAACATCCACAGTCCGTGCTGTACCAGCCAGTGCTGATGTTAATAATCCCCATGACTGCACCAGTGCACTCAGAAAACAACAGCAGAGCTCATTCCAGTGTTGCAGTCACTCTAAGTCACTCCATACAGGACTGAAATATATTAAATATTGAAATTTCCCCAAAGGTAAGATGTACTTCTGCTCGACCTTTAAAGTTTAAACCCGTCAAGAACACACTTTCATCCTCAGCCAGAAGTAAAGAGTGTGTAGAGATGTAACTTCAGTAAAACAACAGAGGGAACTGTTCCCAAAACTACAGTTAAATCATCCCACAGCAAGAAACCATGGATTACCAGAACCATCTGGAAACATGGACAATGACAAAGCAGCAGTCTACAGTGCACGAAAAGCCAAAAAGGACTAAACACAGACATCATGTGACACATAAATGATTGGCTGTTATATAAGGAAAGAAGTGGCTGCTTCGAATGACGATCTACATAACTGATACTACATTCAAACTGTGTTGGATTTTGGGTAGTGGCTGTTTTAAACATGGCGTGGTGCCTAGATGTAATGACAAGTAGTTTATACAATTTTTCATTCTTCTCAGAGAAGGACAGTGTGCAACAATAAACAACACCAGGAGATTCATTTATGCCAGGTGTACTGAGACACTCAGAAACACTTTATTGATCCCCGGAGGGAAATTGGGACGACAAGTATGATAAAAGAAGAAAGCTCTAAGTTGGAAAGAAATAAGAAACAAGCAACTGCAGAGGGCTGCATGCACCCTCAGCACATTCACACAAAAGAAACAGGGATGCACCAATTTATTGGCCACATATTGGTTCAAACCAGGAAACCTCTTGCTGTGAGGTGACAATGCTAACCACTGCACCACTGTGCCACCTATAAAGATGTCAGATGTAAATATGTCACAAGTGCATCTGCAGGACACCGCCAATGAACACAGAACACAGAAGGGTAAGTGCGAAGGAAGGAAGCATGACATGGTTGATGATATGCAAAGGTCAGAGGACACAGTTCAGCTTCCTGGTGGCCTGGGACGTTTCTATGAGTCTCTATGTGTTGGACTCAGGAGACATTTGAGTGCATAAGTTACATAAGAAACTTAATGCTGCAGTTTAAGGTTAAATTTTAAAGAGTATTCTAAGGAGGTCCAAGTTTTTGATACCTTTGAACACATGGTGAGAATATGGTCCATCAGTACCTGCACACTTCTCATATATTGTAAATTGCTTAGTGGAAAGTCACAGATCACACTGTTGCCCGGAGGCAAACCAGCACTTCTCACTTGTCTGGTGTCCTTTTTTGAAACATAAGTCTTTGCGGAGGTGAGCTTGGGTCGCGACAGCAGTCTGTTCTGAATGTAGAACAAGATCTTCTGTTCTGTCTTTGTTTAACTGGCTGTTTCCATTAACTCTCTTTGTGTCCGTCGGTCTGAGGTCACAGTGGTTTATCTCTTATTCAGCCCGCTGTGAATCAACCTTGAAGACAAAGCCAACTTTATGATCAAGGCATGGTCACGCTCCTCAAGGCCTCATGACCTCCACTCTGTCCGTCATCAATGCCACTCTCCGTTTGTCTCCGTCTCTATATATAGTGTCCGGCTGTTATTGCAACTGTTGGTCTAATAGTTTACAAATCCTGACAAATCCCTGGTGTTAGAACATGTCATTCACTTTGTCTCTAACACTTTCTCATTCTGATGAGTCACACTTCATCTGATGGCAAAGTGCTCTGCTGTCTTACCCAGGCACACACAGGCTTACAGGCATACAGTTAGGGATGCACAATATACATCGAGCCAATAGATTATCAGCTGATAAAGGGAAATTTATACAATTATTGTTATTCCAATAATAAAATTAGAGCCAATAAATAAGGCCCATAATGCAAAGACAAACTGCTTTTACTTACTTAACTGGTGCAGCATCTACACCGCCAATGAACACAGAAGGGTAAGTGCATCACGCTAACTAGGGAGCCAAACATGTTGCCAGTGTGGTCTGATCCATTTCTGTCGCTGCCATTACACTGACTAGATGCAGTGCTGAAGGACCGTCCAAGGAGCCACTGCCTTCCTGGGGAACGGTCCGTCCACTGTCAGCCAGGTTAGCTCGAGCTAACACAACAGCATTGGCTCATATCCAACACTAAGCTGTTTAAGGATTCGAATAAACCAAACCAACAGAGAAAACATCTTTCTCTGTCGTTAAGCCCGTTAATAAGCATAGGTAACATTGTTGACATCTAAGTCTGGCAGGTCAGATTTGACATGATGGCCATGAATCAATGTATGGGAAACACCAAGCCTTTATTTTTGTATTGTGTGATGCTCTGACTTCAGTTACTTGTGTGTATACATTGACATGTCGGATTTGTCACAACAGTGTTGTGTTAACAGTAGTGATGCCAGTTAGATTTGGTTAGGTCAGAGCTGTGTATTAAACCATCTACCTTTGCAAAAATTGAAAAATCGAACTTGTTACAAAGGTTTAATGATGGATGAAAGTTTTGGAGTCAGTGTGTAAACGTGATTGACACAACGTGAGGTTGTATTACTTTTTAGATGTGCGACAATATCAGACGGCTGAGTGTACAAAGATCTTTAGACACAAAAACATGGGAAAATCGGTCCTTCAAGGTTTACAACTTTAACTTTTGTATCACACTGATAACAGAGACAGTTTCAACTAAATCACACACACACACCCACAACAACAATCTGTAGCTCGAGCTGCTGATTGTCGTCTGATACTTTGGCAGTGAGGACACACACCACACACCTCAAGGCGGCGGGATTGTTTGCGTCTGTCTCTGTCTGACATCGTCTCTCTGTCACTGTCACCATCTGTCTCCTGATCATCAATGCCTCTCTCTCTCTCCAGCATTGTCACCGTCTGTCTCTCTGTCATCGCTGTCACTCTCTCTGTCACTGTCATGCTCTGGGTCTCCATTATCAACGCGTATGGCATTGTCACTGTTTTGAATTCTGTCACTGACATCCCCCCCCCTCTGCATCTCTCATTTGTTCACTGTAACCTGCTGTCATCACTGTCACTCCGTCACTGTCGCTGGCCTTGTCACTCTGTCATTTGTTTGACGCGACTGTCAGAGACCCTGTCTGTTCTCACTCTGTCTTGCTCTCTTGCCCTGTGCTCGGACAAAATATGGAACATAACAATATCGATTAAAGCTGAGTCCATGAAAGGAGGCAAAAGGAGCATGATGGATGCGACCGCAGAGTTCACACTGAGTTCAGGAGCAAAAGGGAAGTTCACCTGCGATGGCCCAAAAGTACTCCTCCACTTCTCTGCTGTTTGTAGTTGGGACACTGTGAAACATTTTACAGTGTTGACCTATAAAATCTTTCTGCTGCCTTAAGCCCAGATCAGACCAAAAATTTGAGACGAGATGAGTTAAAACTGGCAACTACTTGCAATGCAACTTTCCCTCCTCCACGGCACCAGCCTCTTTTCCAAATATGGTCATTTCTGGCTGCAAAC